GAACAGTATATATATATATATATATATATATATATATATATATATTATACTGTGTATCTACTTTGTTGATTCTTTGTTCGTTCAAAGTAAATACTTAACGATCATTTAATAGTTTTACAATCTCCAACTTCCTGCGATATGACACTTTTACGTGTTGTCATCATCGATGATTCCTCTGTTTATAAATTTATTAGTGGGAAGTATTCCAATTGCTCGTTGTTGAATTTTTATTATCGGATGTCTTTGTTTTATGAGTATTGATTCGGCTACTCGTAAATTATAATGGTTGTTATTGTAATGTAAGATTTCAACATTGCTGTCCACCATTTGTCTAGTAATTTTAGTTTTGTGTTTCTCTTTCATGTGATTCATTACAGTACAAGTTTGTACGTGCATCGTGAGTCTTCTTGATAGCTTGGTCGTCGTCATACCAATATATTCGGAATTATGGTGCCCACACTCACCAATATTACATTTGAACAAATATAATAGATGGCTATGATCCATTATCGATTCTGGCTTACTATTGCAGTTGTTTGTCATCATAAGAGATGACGTTCTTTGGCTGGAGTATGGAGTAGTATATTCGTAGTTTAATACTATTGTTTTCGTTTGTTGGATCAGAAGAGTGCGTATAGGCTCGGTTTACAAAAGCAGAGATCGTGCTCTCTAGATATGTTTGACAACATTCACTTTTTCCATTAAGGCATAAACCTTTGTATTCTGAGGTTTTAAAAAAATATATAAGTATATATAATGGTAAAATGATCACCGCCTGTCACATGCTTCGTGTGTGATGCGTCACTAGCATATTCATATACGCTTTTTGTATATTGTTCATTTCTCTGATCTGAATTTCGGTAGAGCGTGAAAAGCCTTTTTTAGACATAGCGTAAACGAGATGAGTACGTTCACATGCTGGATTAATCACACGCCTTGCATGAAGACGAACACATGTAGTGGTATGCCACGCATATTAAATGACGTGCCAATCGAGCAATAAAAATATAACGCAACACATGAGCAAAATGTTTTGCAGAATATTTATGCCTAAATAAATATTTGCTTTGATTTAGCAAAAAGAATTTGCTTTGATTGAGTAAAAAGAAAAGTGGTACTTGTATTGCCGTGGAAAGAAAAGCAGTGCTTGTATTGATGGGCGTAGCCAGAGGAGGGAGGATTCAACCCCCCGATATACTTAACAGTTTAATCTGATTTATGTTTGTTTTCTCCATTGTAAAATAAATGGTTTTAAATTTTTAATTATTTTATTATTTAATTGACATTTCTAAAAAATTATTTAAATTAAATATTTTTTTTATTTTAAGTACTTGCAACATATCGGCACCTTTAAAATTTGGTTATAATCACAGAAATAATATAAGGCATGAAACATGTTCTGTTCATGGCTGGCGTTGATGAGCTTTAACGTCGTGGATGTTCATGACAGTAATGGTAATAGTAACATCTGGCGCACTTACAGCCAAAGTTTACTGCTATTAATAATAAAATGAATAATGCTTGTAGTAATAGTTATGTATGACAAATTCATGAATACAGGCCATTTTCAAACGCATGAGTGTCGTATTAATATAAGATAAGGTGGACAAAATGTTGATATGACGAGGAAATGTACTAGATTTCCATTTTTTTTTTAAATTACAGACTCAAATATTTGTTTGCTTCATTTACGTAAACCATTGTTCTGAAAAAATTTTCAACATCAGTGACAAAAACGTCCAGAAAAGGTAAACATTTGTTGTTCTCATGTTCAATGATGAATCTCACTTTGGATTTACATCTGAAAATAAATTAAAATAACTATTATTGACTTTGATTCGTATGTCCGTATTGAATAATAGTTAGTTAATCTGATTGTTATTTTGGCACCCAGTGCATTGCTAGAAATTTGCTGAAAACAACCTTTTAATCATTTATTTTTATAACAAAAAGTAATAATACATAGTATAATATCAATAAATATGAAAAATAACATAATATTAATATATGTACTTACATTATATGTATATAGCAAAAAGCGTAATGCTTTAAACAGTTATGCAAAAATGTAACCTACAGTAGGCTATTTTCAGCAATTTTTCTAATTCTGTCGGATTTTTTTTTTAACTTTCATAACTTTTGTTCCTTATAGAGAAATTATTATCGTTCTATAGAAACAGTTTTTTTTTATGTAAAACTCCAAAGGACAGAAAAAAAGTTTCATTATATAGATATTTTCGTTATAATGAGGTCACTTTAGTGTCACTTCATTTAAACAATTGTTTTAAATTTAGTAAAAAGCTGTTAAATATTTTGGAACAATGGGAAGCTGAATTTAGCAGGATTTAAATAAACATTCAAAAATAAATAAAAACAAAATCGTATTCGACAATTGGAAACATAACATAATTAAGTTTTTGTGCAGCTCTATTTTTTAGATTTAAGATAAATTAAAAGTTTACATTGTAAGCAGTGAAGGGTCGAGGTAGGTTCTTGAGGAGTCGAATGTTTAAAATAACATTTATCCTTTGTGTTGTCATGCTGTTGTTGTTTTTTAATAATATAACTTTTTTAACTTTTGAGAAAAATAACTTAGAACAACGATATTTAGTTTTTATATTAAACTTGAAAAACATCGCGGTAAAACTTTAAAAAATGAAAAATTACCATTTCCACACAATTTGATAGATTGGTTATCGCAATCTAGTCAGATAACAATAAATTATAACATGCTCACAATAGAACTCATCAAATCAGTGACTGCAGTTACCACGATAGAACTGCACAAAAACTGTACGTCATACATTCACGTTTGCTTATTTGGATTTATTTATACGCATACGTTATGGAGCGACATATAAAATTGTGTTCAAAAAAGAAAGTGAGATGAATAATTTTTTGGAACATTAAGTGTTATTTTGTTGAGCATTTACATTTTGATTTTAACATGGGCAAAGTTTTTCATTTGTTATTAATGTTTAGTTTTCTACAAAAAAAATCAGTTTCATGTTTTCAAAAAGTTGACATGACAGGATCAGGCGCCTCGTCAACGGTGGACGTCTACAAAACGTGGGCGATCTATTACGAGTCCATGAGGTCATCGTTCATCGACCTCCAGTTTTTCTACGACGCAAAGGGCAGTTCTAGAGGAAAGCAGGACATTATAGGCAGCAAAATAAACTTTGCAGGCTCAGATATCCCTCTGAATAGAGCTGACGAACAAAATTATCCTGACATAAAATACTTCCCATCCCTAGCGTGGTATGTATCAATTATTTATTATATTGATAGGTAGGCATGTGACATGACACTATTTGAAATTGACCGATAGAAACATGACAATCAAATATAAAAATTTTTAAAATATCTAAAATTATCTAAATTTAGCATTATCTAAACTGTATACATGTTGAGTTTAAATTTTTTTTACTCAATAACTTTTAAAACGAATGTGAAATATTTTATAAATTACTAATTCTATTTTTTAGGTTTTTTGAGAGTAAAATTAAAATGTTACAATTTTAAATCATTAGAAAAATCTACTGGGTTTTATTTTTTAAATTAAAAATGATAAATATATTTCCAAATATTACGTTGCAATTTTTTTCGACAATATCTTCACCAGACATAAATTGACAAATTAATCTTATTAATTTGTTAACGACAAAGTAATTTAAACCTGAATTGCCCTATCCCATCTGCCTAATGTAGACTCTACTGGAAGCATACATTATAATTGGTGCCGGGACACTCAAGCGGGTGATTGTTTACATTGCAAAAGTATATCGTAATGACGCAATGGCTTTCATCGTTCAGATCACACGCTTCATTTCTTTTCCTCTATGTAATTTAATGATTAACAATAAAACATTAACAAAGAAATGAAACTAAATAATAAATACACACACACACAAATATATATATATATATATATTTTTTTACAATATTCTATAAATTCTACCGAATGTTTGGCGTTAATATGTTTGTAGTTCGTTTTTTCGATTTTTTTCACTAAAGTTTTTTGATGAAGTTTAGTTTATTAAAATTCAAAATAAACTTATTTTTCGAATTCATGCTGCAAATAAGGCCATATTTCGATTCCGAATGAATCATCATCAGTGCTCCTTGCTGTATATATAAGATTGATAAAGGCAAATTACTACACAGCAATAACCTTCCTAGTACCAACAATCAAGATAACGACATCATCTTGTATTACAGAAATCACATGTCAACAGCATACAAGGTAGATGAAGCTATTCTTAAACATATCATCAATAAAAATTTCACACCAACCAACCCAAATAGTAAAGTTAAACTCCGAATTTATTACAACAATAAAAAGACGTCCCACCTAATACTGAAAAACAACTGCAGTCCTAGAGATAACTCTGAGTTAAAGCGTAATCACGTAATATATGAATTTAATTGCCCCTTTGACGGCTGTGCACGTCAACATGACTCAAATATCGGGATTACTACTACCTCACTGACTAGAAGGCTTACGATGCACAAACAGAGTGGTGCTATCAAATCTCATTTGGACTCAACACACTCAATCACAATTAGCCGTGAAATCCTCGACAGCAACACCAAAGTAATATACCAGAACAGCAACTACACGCATCTTAAAATTGCAGAAGCAGTCCTAATTGACATCAATAAACAAAAAATAAATATACAAAAAAAAATGACAACCTCACTTCCAAACCGGCGTTTAACCAACAAAGAAAACAAAGTAATAAAAACTAGCATCGTAAATAGTGACAAAGAAGAATATGATGCTATCGATGAAGGAAAGAAGACCAAAGAAGATGACCAGCCAATTAAGAAACCTGATACCTAATTCGCATCAAAGTTCAATTTTACAACACCAAAGTTAATTTTTACAACGTCAAAGTTCATCTTGACAAAAGTCAATATTTCCCTTTATTACAGCAAGGAGCACTGATGATGATTCATTCTGAATCGAAATATGGCCTTATTTGCAGCATGAATTCGAAAAATAAGTTTATTTTGAATTTTAATAAACTAAACGTTCACCAAAAAACTTTAGTGAGAAAAAACGAACTACAAACATATTAACGCCAAACATTCGGTAGAATTTATAGAATATTGTAAAAATTATGGTCTATTACCAACATATATATATATATATATATATATATATATATATATATATATATATATATATATATATATATATAATAATATATATCAAAACACAGGGCGATAGATCTTGGATAAAACATTCCTGGTGTTTCACACTTGTGTCTAACGAGAGAACAAATTGTCGGAATATACAATGGAACTATAACAAACTGGAACGATTCTTCGTTCATGAAGAACAACCCCAGCACAAAACTTCCTGACGCACCAATAATCCCGATAGCCAGGCTTGATGATGCCGGATCAACGTTTATATTTTCCAGCACTCTTTCGTCTTTCGACATCAACTGGAATTCCAGTTTTGGAACGTTTCAATCTAAAAACTTTTGGCCAAAGCATATAACGGTTTGTTTAAATTTAATAAATTGTAAAAAAAATAATCAATCTTATAATTTTTCAGATTTTTGGTCAAAGAATTAGTGGTATGGCTGACACTATAACTAATAACAACTTTAGCATTGGATATTTGAGCACTTCCGGAGTTCAAGAAGTTAATTTGAGCTATGCCAAAATTATTAATAAAAGCGGGAAAAAAGTGGATGCAAATATAGAAATTATTCAAGAAACAATTGAAAAATCTTTCAAAAACCAGTCAGCCAATTTTGCATTTTCTTTGACAGACCTAGATATTCCTTCAGCATATCCAATTCTATCTTTCTCTTATATATTAATTAATATTAATAACATTAAATATGACTGCAGTCAGATCACGGAGCTGTATAGATTTTTTAAATGGTCGCTTCAATCAGTTGCTGCTCACAAAGCAACGAAACATCTTCAGTTTGTACCTCTTCCAACTTTGTTGCAAAACACTGTGATAGATCAAATTTTAAACCGAATGACGTGTAAAAGTAAAAATGTTGAAAAATTGGTTGTGCAGCAAATTGATTACGAAGAGGAACTTTTAAAAACGTGGAAGAAACCATTGTTTATATCTTTACCGTTTGTTTGCATGCTGTTGGTTATTTTTTTAATATATGGTGTATACCAAAGAATTCTTAATTTGAAATTTATAAATAGTCAAGAATGGAAAATTAATTTTTTCAATATAGATTTTTTTAACAAAGTGAATTCTGCCACAAAATCTTTTTTATTGTCAGACACTCAAAACGCTAATTCATCAGATATTTCGGCTTTTGGCAATTTTTATTTACCAACAAAAAATTTTAAAAATGGATTTTATAACGGGAAAGACATGAAGTTATTAAGCATTAATTTGAAATCTGTAAAAAAATACAGTTCTCATGCAAAATATGTGTTGTCTTTTAAAAAACTGAGTCATGACAACATAGTGAAGTTTGTGGGGTTAACTGAAGACAATGATCAAGTAATATACTACATGGAAGAAAACTCTGAAAAGTATGCAATGATCAGCATTTTGGAGAAGAGCAAATTTAAACTAACAAACTCTTTTAGATTATCACTAGCCAGAGATGTGTGCAACGGGTTACTGTATTTGAATACAAACAAAATAACTGTGGGGTATCTCACCATCAATCACTGCGTAATCGACTCACGATGGACAGTAAAAATCGGCCAGTGGGGTCTAATGAATTTATATCAAAGTTTTAAAAAAAAGAACAAACTGATGAACTTTGTGAAACATTACCACAAAGTGTCGAATAGCAACGAAATGGTGAACGAAATTCAAGATATATTAACTGGCAATGTGTTAAACCAAACTAAAGAAGAAACTTTGAAATATTGGGCTTTTTGGACTGCCCCAGAGCTAATAAACAACATAAAGCCAGAAATATCAACGGAATCATGTGATGTTTACAGTTTTGGATTAATATTATGCATTTTGTTCTCTATAAACAACTATTCTGTTGTCGACAAACTTGAAGAAATAAATTTCACAGTTATTGTGGACAAGTTGCAAGCTTTTCAGAGTGTTTTTCCAGCAATTCCAGCCAAAATTGTCAATCTAATCAATCTATGTTGCAGTTTAAAATTTACTGACCGACCAAAATTTTCAGCCATCAAACAAAACTTGGATTCAGCCGATAAAGAAGACAAGCTGAATGTCCTCGACCATATTATTAACTTTTATGAGGAAAAAATTATCAGCTTCATCGGACAGAAAGAATTTGAAATAAAATTCAACGAAGATGAATAAATTTTATAATAATTTCTAAAAGCAAAATTTTGTTCCTCAATAATAACTTTGCTTCATATCAAGTCAATGAAACAGTTTTATTTTTTACATTGAATGAATTGCAGTAGAGTATTTTGAAAAAACCATTTTGATAGATTTAAATAATTAGTTGTTCATGAATAAAAACCAACATTTTTATTTTTTATTACAAATTTTGGTCAAACTGTGTTGTATTATTTGTAATTAAACATCATAAAACTGTTTGCTACTAATGAAGAACAACAAAATCTCACGATTCCTATGCAGCTAAGAAACCGTTTTAATTTAAAACGAAAAAAGTTAAAGGACAGTGTTTTTGGTTACTAAACTGAAATGAACGAATTTTTTTGATTTATGCAAAAATATATATTGGAAAAATTAAAAAATTATCTTGAAATGAAATATGCGAGTTAAAACTTTACGGACCCTTATGAATAAAAAAAATTATGTTGTGATTAAATAGGTGCTTGATTAAATAGAGATCTGCTAGACATCTTGAAATTGGCCAAGTTTAACAAAGTGTGTATATACTGGGTTTGCAATGCCTATAAATACAATTACTGATAATCGTCACAGCGTCAACAAATGCCTGTATTACATTCTAAAATATTCTAATATAAATTGTTTCATATACAAATGATTGTTTCAAGTTTTTATTGACTATTTTATGTTCGTTTTCTAGTTTGATTGGATCATAGGATGCGTTGCACTGAGGGAGCCAGGGGCAGCCACAAGGTTCTGCTAATCAAACTTGCTTGAAAAACAAAATTGTTTCCAAATAATTATTGCAATGCGATATTTAAACTATTATATGAAAAGTAACCATAGTATGTACATTGAGGTTCAATTGTGCTGTGGAACTGAAATGAGAAATAATCATAAGAGGCAATTTATGTTTTCATCTGAGCCAGATAATTTATTTTTAAAAATTGCAAAAGCGAACGACGATGAGCTCAAGTTAACGACAAAATTATATATTTTACCCGAATAATTATTCTGCAATTATATAAGCGACAAAATATTAAATAAGCATATCTGCGTTTGTATTTATGACATGAGATATCTAACCTAATGACAGATGAAAAACGTGTCTGTCAAACTTTGAATACCGAATTGTATTTTATCACTAGATGTTTGTGCGATGTCTACTTATTTTACACGTACAAAACCAATATATTGAATTATTAAGATACAAAAATGCAAATATTTAATTGTCATATAATAAATTTTCAAAAAATATTTTTTCAACAAATACATAAAAATAATATTCATCATATAGACAATATACATGTTTTCATGATGGTCAATATTTCATTTTCACGATTCCTGGTATTCTCCTGTAAAATATTTTTTAAAAACTTAGTGTATTTAAAGATATCTTGTAGAAATATAGCATGACACAAAGAAAAAACGTTAAAAATAAAGAGAACGTGCAACGCACGTAAAAGAAGCAAAAACGATACACGAAAAGAACATATTAGATACACCAATAAAACAAATAAGACTGTAGACTAAAAAAATACGTCGGAAAATATACAAAATACACAAAAGAACAGGTATGATACGTAAATAAACAGATGAATTACATACAAGAATAGGAAAAACACATGAAAAAACAGGTAATAAATACTAAAAAATAAGAAACATTATAGGGCAGGTACATAGTACAAGAGCAAGCTTGATACAAGCAAGAAAAGGTAAGATACAATAAAGATATATGAAAGAACAGGTACGATAAGTGTAGCCATGTCTGACCCTGGTTATTGTAACTTCTCCTGTATGAAGGGCTGCAATGGTAACACGGCCTTTCGTGGATGGTACTTATGTAAGGACTGTATCGGATTGCGTTTTGACAAGAAATCGGATGAATTACCGGTGGACTAACAGGTGTCAACTTTCAAATTAAAAACAAAATTTATTGTTATTATTTCAAGTAGCAAAGACATATATACTATATAGCCTCTCAAATACCGAAAAATCGAAAAACAAATGTAATCGAAAGTAAAAATTATTTACGTAAAATTATTTATATTAAATTACAAATAATAATTTTGCTTATAATTATATTTTAGCTTAAAAGTAAAAATTAATTACGTATAAATATGTATAATAAATTACAAATAATAATTTTGCTTATAATTATATTTTAGCTTACGTCTGTTATCGAAGGCCAAGATTCTAAAAATAAAAATTTAGAAAAGTTGTTGTGAACTTGAAAGGAATCATCCGAAATACTGGTGTCCATGAGAACCGAAAAATTTTGCACCGTCTCGTTTTTATCACAATCAGTCTGCAGATTGGAGTTCTGTTCCACCTTTGATATTTTTTCTCTACTTTTTACGTTGAGATGATTTTCAGTTTTTTCATTTTGATCCTTACTTTTCATTGTAAATAGCCAGCACAAAATTGTTCCACAGATAAAAAGAACTCCGCAGAGAAACGCTCCTAAGATGACAAAAAAGGATGAAACGCCAGATTGTGCAGTTGTCGTCGATGATGCATCAGTTTGGTTGTTTTGTGAAAATTTTATAGAAAACATTCTCCTTTAAAAAAATTGATTTTTTAATTTGAGTAGTCATGTCATGACATCAAAATTTTTAGGTCGCAATAAAATATATTATAATATAAGATAAGAACATGTTAATATTTACTATTATACGTTTTTAAGATAATATTTCTAGTAGAAAATATCACGTATTAAAGTTTGGGAAAGTACGGTAGCACTCTAAATAAGGTGGTCTGCTCAAGTTTCTTGCTTAAAGATCTCCTGATTTGGCAATGTAACCTGTTACACCAACCACGATGATCTCGAAAACGGCTGAACGTATTTTCGTGATTTATTTTATTTGTTTCCGTCTCTAATAAAATTTAGGACATTTAAAAATTAAATACAATTAGAAATTTTTTTAATTCTTGTACTTCTGAAACTTTAGTAGGCTCTGTATCATTCGACCGATGAAATGTAAGATATTGGATGCAAATTAAGCATACCGAACGCTCGTTGAAATTCAAATTTTTTAAATTAATATTTTAAAAAGTTTTATATATAACTTTTTAATATTTCCAAAAACCATTGAAAACCATTAAGAAATTTAGTAACTTTTGAAGTAAAAAAAAGCAACTAAGAATTTTAATGGTATTATTTGTTTTTTATTTTCTCGATGTTCAATGGGAAGGGAACAGGAAAAGAGTGTAAAAATTTATTTTATCGATATATCGTTATTTGGCATGAGAAAAGAAATGAAAGTCTGTTGGTAACAAGGAATATTAATAATATTATATTATCGAGAACGTTCACAATGTTGATCAGTATCGGGGACATTAAATTTTATCGGGCTTATGAATGAGAAAAAAAAAAGTCTATTGGCATCTAAAAAAACTCGTTTTTTAGAGTTAACTATGCATCGTTCACCGATAAATAAAAACTTAGATGCACATACAAACGTACAAACAAAAATACATACACACAGAGGCGGATTAAGATAACTGACGGAGGCCAAAATTTAAAAAATGTTTAAATAATTTTGAAATTTTGACGGGGGGGCTAGATTTGTAGTCGTTTAGCCAAAATTAGGCTGGCGACCCTTTTTTAAATTATCACGTCAACTTTTGGTGAATTAATTTCTAAGGCCTTACGAAGTACACCGTGTTATCTCCAGTCTGTCATAAAATTTGTAATTCTTTAGTTGACCAAATTGTTATTTCAGAATTAACCTCTTAAAGTTTCGTTCAGTGCCATGATCCCTTGCGTCGAGAGTTATATTGTACAATCTATCATATCGAATTCGATGCTTTGATAACATGTTAATACTTACTTCTATGGATGAATTTTTGATTTGAAATAGATTTCTGAAAAAATTCAAGTAATAAGTTTATGTGTGAAGTGCGTAATAACATTCTAAAATATTTTACCCATCATCATGAGAACGAAGTTGCAGTTCTATCGCGCTGTTTCTACACAAATCTTCGTCAAATACGATGATGTTGCAAACAAAAACCTGAGAGCTGTTGCTCAAACTTACCGTAATAATATCATTTTCTTTGGGATAAGCTATTTCGGGCTCATTATCATTTACGTCCAAAACGTAAATATTAACGTCAACTTCTTGGGTAAAACAAAGTTTGCTTGTTTCAAACCGGCTTGGACTTGCCATAATCGTTACATAGTGTACATTTTTTATTTCTCTGTCTAAACTTTTTAAGGTTGATAAGTTTCCGGAATTTTTATCTAATTGAAAAATCTTGTTATCGTTGACCAACTCAAAATTGTAGGAACAGTTAGGGGTAAGAAACGTATTTAAATTGGCAATTACTTCAAACTTCGAAACATTTTCGTAGACAAATATATTTTTATCTACGTTATAAAATGTTTTGTTATCATGCAAACTGACATAATGTATGAAAAGATAGAGGAGTGTTTCTGATGCCAGTGGAGGTATTCCACCGTCTGTAACTTTAATCGTGCATTCGTACAAATTGGAAAAACTTTGTTTACAAACATTTGTTGATGCAGAATTACTGTAAATATATCCATTTTGAAAAATTGTTAATAAGTCTTTGATTTTATAATCATCCAAATTACAAAAGTCGCCATTCAATTGAGCGAAGGACGATATTTCAACACAATTCTTGATAGAATATTTCAGAAGTGCATTATTTTTTACATCACGATCGATAGCAGAAACAAAGCCCAACACATTATTATCGGAACAATATTTATCTTTCATTACTGTGAAATAATACGGGGAATGTACAAACATCGGAGTATTGTCGTTAATATCTTTCATTGCCAGCACTAACGTTGCAAAAGAATATAATGAGGGTTGGCCATTATCAGAACATTTTACTATTACGTAATAACAAGGTTGCCTTTCTCGATCTAGCACATCAAAATTGTGAACAAATTCAAAATTATCGTTGCAGGAGAAACAAATTTGATATTTTTTTTCACTTATTTCATTTAGTTTGAACAACGACGGATGAGACGATCCTTCAACTTCACATGCAACGTTTCCATTTTCTTCGCCATCTTCGTCCGTGACTGTCATGAAATAGTTGGTTGAGTAGTTATCATGGCTCACAACGCTGTTGATATTTAATTCATTTATTTCGGAGTAATATCTTTGGCCGACAAAGATTGATCTATCGAACAAGCAATCGTTTGAATCGATTGATAATTTTAAATTTTCAATATGTATCAAAGGCTCATTGTCATTAACATCTTTTATGCTAATGTCAATTAGTGCGGGCGTCGATGTTAAATTATTCGACTTATCTCTTGCGAGCACTTCTAACTTAATTTCAGGGCCAAACATTTCATAATCGATATTTTGAATATTTGATATAACTCCAGTTTTTGGATCAATGCTAAACCAATCTCCATAAAACTTTGTTGTATTAGACGCGAAAGCGTACCACACTTCTCCGTTCTCACCTAGGTCAGAATCGTGTGCAAGGACCTGAATGATGTTTGACTCTGATGTGTTGTTTTCGACGAGTGTCTTAGAATAATACAGGCTTAAAAATTGAGGCCTATTGTCGTTGACATCTTCAATTTGAATCTCTGTTGTAAAAATTAAAATTATAAAATTGATTTTTCAGAAATTTAATTGTTAGATAGTTACCAATAATCATTTGGGCAGAGTTTGCAGGTATTCCTTTGTCGTAAGCGGTGAAGTGAACTCTGTGTAAATCCCTCCCCTCTCTGTCGAGAGATTTAATTAGCTTGAGGTAAGGTGCTTGTCGAGGGGAAGAAAATATATCCTCATCAAACAAATCCACGTCATCGTGAGTAAGTTCGAAGTATTTTTCATCCGTATTTTCTTTAATTTCGTATCTGTCAATGTTGTAGAGGAAACTATCCAGATCAGTTGCTGTTGGAAGCTGAATTAAATGACCCAAATTCAAATTTTCTGCTAAACTTATGACTTTACGGTGTTTTTCAAACTTTGGACTGTTGTCGTTAATATCTTGAAGAATAATTTTTAAATTAATGATAGTTTTCAGCAAAACGTCTTTTTGAAGTCCAACCTCCACTTCAATGTGACACACATTAACTGAAGAATTGCACAACTCTTCTCTATCCAATATTTCGTTGGAATAAATTACTGCGTTAACTCGAATTTTCAGCAAATTTGATGTTTTCAACGGTACGAATTTATAATTTGAAAAAATATTTTTATCAATATTCAACAGCTCTAACAAATTAATATTTAAAAATTGTTCCTCTTCTAAAGTATATCTAAATGATAAGTAAGTTTGAGATTCCAGCCAAGTTAAGTTATAATCGAAAGCGTTCATGCAGTTTAATTCATAAACAACTTCATAACTTTTACGGAGTTTGAAACAAGCCACCATTAAAAACGACGCAAATACGTGATACCGCATCGCTCCGATAGCAACAATGACAGGCAGATAGGCGGCGGGTGAGTTTTATTGCAGTGTGATGTCCGCTGTTTACGTAGGAACGCTTTGCTATGCAGATGTGGATGCCGTTTCAATTGTAACGTTGTATTTATCTCTTGCAGCTTTTGGGCGATGCAACTTTTCGTTTTTTACTCTCATTTTAACGCGATGTTCAAGCTGAGATTAGTATTTATTCGTTGTTCAAAGAATTACTTAATTAACGTTTTACCAATTTTAATACAAAACAACAAAAAGTTTTTCGAACTTCGTATAAAAATACGATTTACAGTAATTTTCTAACAAATTAATTTTGAAGATATTTAGACAGATTATATATTTCATTTAAGTTTGTTGAAAAAGAAATAAATGGGTTAAATTTAGAATAATATTGATCATTTCGTATAAAATATTTCAAGTAAGATATTCTTGCTCTGTATTTCAAAATGTTCAAATGCAAAAAGAATAAACAATCAAAAAGATGTCAAATGCTGTTATACATACCCTAAGCATATTTTCCAAAAAAAAATACAAAAAATAAAACATATTGTAACTTTCAATTCATACATGATTTAATGATGTTAGTTTTTTTACAAATTAAAAAAGGTTGGTGATAAAAACGTTTTTCAAAACGATTGGAGATGTACGTACACTAAATTGAAATGAAACAACTTTCTGAAAAGTTGCACAGGCATTTTCAAACGTATAGAAAATCAACAGTTTGATTTTTTCTGATCTTTACTTTTATTATTGCACTTTCATAGCGAGAAAGAAAATGTGTATTCAATATTTCTGGTAACTTTTTTATTGTTCTCAAACCAGCATGGAATTTGGTTACTAATTTCAATAAAATGCCGGTGTTTCAACAAAATTTTACAAATAGCCATTCTCATTTCTTGCCAGCTATTTAAAAACTTTTACGTCATGCTACACATGCATGGCGAGATACATTAACACACGATTGCGAGATACATTAACACGTAATGAATATTACAAATAGACGTTGACGTTAGATTTCGCGAATTCCAATCAGAATGAGTCATGCCGCGCACGCTTATCATGAGAGCCATATTTCAGGAGGCCGATGTTTGTTTGGCCAGCCTAACGAAAACAATCCCCAATTACTCTCGCGAGTTTTACGTTAGCAACGATAACCAACCATATTTATATTGTGCATCATTCCATTGGGTTAAAAACTTTATACCTAGTTATCGTAAATTTTTGTCCATGTATATTTTTACCCAAAAATTCTTTAAATATTTAAAATTTGATAACATTAGAAAAACCTCAAGTTGATTTAAAATTGATTATTTTTGTGAAAGAATAAATAAAAACTTGGAAGATAATTTTATTGTTCAGAAATAAACATTTAATAACATTACAATAACTATTATAATGCTTCGTGTAACGCAAAATTTCAGTTTATTCTCAACAAATATTCTCTTCCCATACATACAAGAATCTACACTTGTGTAGATGTTGTAAAACTTAATTTTTTTTACCATTGTGTTAAAACTATTAATATAAATAAAATTTTATAAACTGTGATATATATTTTGTTTTTTTGCAGTCGTTGGAAGAGCTTAAAGAAGCAAATTTATTCATTATCTAGCTTTTTTTTATCATGCCACTCTTTCGCATTCACATCATTCATTTTACGCACGGGCCTGATGAGCACCACGGCTTGAATTTTTTTGAGTCGGAATTCAAATTAAAGTTTTTAAAAACTGGCTCAGCTAAACTTGATTGCTGTTATGGCGGTTTTTCATAACCATGACGTACCATCCTAATTCAATCAATCATAAAATGCAACTTGATTGCTGGCATTGGTAAACCAATGATCACTTTTCACACCTACACATTGTCGACATTTTATCAAACTGAAATAAAATTTTTATAGTGTAGACTGAATATAAAGACCACTAAGAAAAGCTGCAATGAATATAGCCGTGAAAAAGGCGCATAAAACGTAATTAAATCCATTTCTAGTGGGACTGGATGCCAGCAATTATTTATTTTTTAAACGTTAATGTTTACTCTTTTTTTTCAAGTAGCACCGGCATAGCCCCTCGCCAAACGAATACAGAAAAATCAAAAACAAATTAAAATAAGAATATATCAGATGAAATTAGAAAAAACGTGTCAACAGAAATGAACTGGATATAATTTTGGCGGCGCGATAGCGTAATGGCTAAGTGCATGGCACTGTTGATGCAGTGTCCGGGTTCGAATGCAAAAAAAGATCCCCGCTTATCACATGCAAAAGTGTGTGATGCGTTTGTTTGTTGTAATATCACAATGCGCCTCAGTCGCTTGCCAGGCGCTATATAAAATGACATTATTATTATTATTATAATTATTTGAACAATGATTATACTGACTGTTCTGTAATAGTAAATTCACTTAAAATTTCGCAAATAGGTTTTTTTAATAATTTTAACTTATCTCTCTTTCAAATACCATGGCCAATATCGTTTGATGAAAGACTAATTAACACTATCATTCGCTCATCATACGGAATTTATTGTGATAGGAACACTGTGTAAACTATTTTTAAAATATATTTCTTACTCCTATGCACTTACCTTTGGCAAGGAGCATAGGTGGATCGTGCATAACAATATTAACAATTTATTACAACTTATTTTATTTTATTTCATTTTATCTATTTTGATTTGATTTTATGTCTTCTGCAATAATAAAAGAGTTCAAATTATTATTATTTTTATATAAACACGTAATCATATATGAACGTACACGTACGCCTCAGTCGCTTGCCATGGCGCTATATTAAATGACATTATTATTATTATTATTGTTATTATTATTATTATATAAACAGGTAATCATATAAGAACGTACACAAAAACCAAAATGATGATAAATCGATAAATGACAAACGAATCTAATTTCGATTCTACAAGCAAAACGGATTTAACCGTACACAATGTCGGTCTAAGCTTTTTTGACAGGTCGGGCAAAACTTTTAGACTCGCCCCTTTGTATTATTGATGTTACCAAAGGAAGGTTGGTAGCTAAACATTAAAAAACGAGTACAAGCGAAGCCGATATGCAAAAATTTTAGATATATGCCAAAGAGATTTTTTATTAGTTTTTAATCTAATTAAACCGAATTTTTTAAAGATATGTTTTACTGAAAACAAGTATATAAATAAGCAATGCAACTGTTAGTACGAACTTATGCTACTAACAAGACACCTTGTTGTGAGTTAAAATAAATAAAACAAACACAATTCAGGCGTAATAAAATATTATCTTTATTCCCACGTGAATCTCGAACCGTTTCGTTTTACAAGCTATAAGGAAAAAGGGAAAGAAATCGAAAGAGAAGCAAAGACATAAAAATAAACATAGATTAAGTAACATTGAAATTGCAATAATCTTTAATAATAATTTATATGTGAGATAGTTTATAAATGAATGTTTGATCCCTACAATACTCCCCCACAAAAGGCGGAGCCGTTTAAAAATAGAAATATTCATTTCGTTTGTTGAATGTTATTCGCCTCCCTTTTCTGGAGTGTTGGGTTGTTGGTTCGGATTTGGTTGACGTCGGTCTTGTTTCTTGTGTTGTTGTTGCGCCTGATGTTGTTGTTTCTGGTGTTTCAGTAGATTTTGTGTCTGATGTTGCTGGTTTAGTTGCTGTTGCTCGATCTACTCTTAACCATTCGTGGCTACTGTTTGAAAGGTCATTTGGTACGTAAGCTTTTGGGGTAGAGTGATGTTGATTGTTAGTTGTTAGGTAGTCATTAAGTTTAAACATTTCTTTTGCTAGTTGTTTGATTTGATTAGATGTTATATCTTCATTTGAATCTGGGAATAAAAATCGACTTGGTAATAATAAGTTGGTTCCTGTTACTGCTATTTACTGCTATTGAATCTGTTGTAGAAAGTTTGTTGTTCGTTGTCGAACTATTCTTGTTGTTTATTCTGATTTTGGCTGTTAGAGGTAATGATAAACAAGCTGGTTTTAATCGATCAATTGACACATTTTGAAAATTTCCTGGTAACAGTTCAATTTTAAAGTATTTATCGTTACGTTCAATCACTTTGAAAGGGCCTGTATATGGTGCTTCCAGTGGACGACGTACTCGATCTACTCTTAACCATTCGTGGCTACTGTTTGAAAGGTCATTTGGTACGTGAGCTTTTGGGGTAGTTGACTGTTAGTTGTTAGGTAGTCATTAAGTTTAAACATTTTTTTTGCTAGTTGTTTGATTCGATTAGATGTTATATCTTCATTTGAATCTGGGAATAAAAATCGACTTGGTAATAATAAATTGGTTCCTGTTACTGCTATTGCTGGAGATATTTCATTTTCATAATATTTCCCCGCAAGAGACGGAGCCATTCAAATAGAAAAATTTTTGTTTTTTGAGTTGAATTTGATTTTTTTACTCTTTTTTGAAGATGTGGTTGTTGGTACTGATATCGCTGGTGTTTAACTTGTTTCTCGTAATGATGTTGCTTTTGTCGCTGATAATTTGGTTGACATTTATCTTGTTTCATGAGATGTTGATGATGGCGTTGTTGCTGAAAACGCGGTTGCCGTTTTTGTTGCTGGTTCAAATTTTGTTCTGGCCTCTCATGCAACCTTCTGTCCAGCTGCAAACGATTTCTAGAATGAGATGTGTGTGAGGACGATGAACTATGCTCTGCTTTTCTCTTTCTGTGATGATCTTGCTGCTGCTGCTGTTGAACAGGAGAAGGAAGAGAGAGAACTGGAAGGAGAGAATCATTCATGTGTAAATTTGCTGATGGGATGGTAACATTCTGCTCAGCATTTTGCTGTTGTGATTGTTGGATGTCATTTTCATCTTTGTTCTTGCTCAGGACAACTTTTATTTTATTGGACTCTTCTGGTGGCTGCCTCTCTTCAATTTTGTTTATATTCATCAGATTCAAATTTATTTTAAAAGGTTCTTTTTCTTGAAATTGCTTTAGTTTGGTTTGGTTTGTTTGAACGTTGATAATAACTCTGCTTTTAGAGCGTCGTAATCTGTTCCTCTTTGCACTTTTAACGACAAATTTGAGACTATATCCAACGGCAGGGAAATTATTACGTGATAGAATCTTGTTGTTTTACACATCCCGTTTCGCGATTGAAATTGCATTTCGGAATTCTAGAACCAATCTGTTGACGCTGTTTTCTTGAAAAGAGGTAATATGGCGATCGAGTCATCATTTGGTTGGAACATTTTCGTTTTGATCTAACCACGTGGATCTTCGTATTTCTTTTTACGTCGGATTTTCGTTCAAAATCACGTGAAATTTTCGTTCAAATCACGTGGGATTTTCGTTCAAATCACGTCGGGGTCACTAATTTGTTAGTACGAACTTATTCTATTAAGACACCTTGTTGTGAGTTAAAATAAATAAAACAAACACAATTCAGGCGTAATAAATATTATCTTTATTCCCACGTGAATCTCGAACCGTTTCGTTTTACAAGCTATCAGGAAAAAGGGAAAGAAATCGAGAGAGAAGCAAAGACATAAAAATAAACATAGATTAAGTAACATTGAAATTGCAATAATCTTTAATAATAATTTATATGTGAGATAGTTTATAAATGAATGTTTGATCCCTACACAACTAGATGAATTTTATAACAGTTTTTATTACACTGATAACAAATTCTTCTATTTAAATCAGCAAAACATTGATTAAAATTATTAACATAATTAAATCGAGGAAATGGCTTCCACAAAAAAAACAAAAAGCCAAAAAATATAAATCTAAAATTCTTTTTTGGAGACCAATATTTTTGTCTTTCATATTTGCACCATTATTGTACCCTTGCCCTCGACAAAGGCTTATATTCAGCCAACATTCTTTTAAGGCTCCATTTATGATTTCTTTAAAACCAAGACCCGTCGAGTCGTTAACGGTAAAAAAAACATCAGGAAAATGTTCATTTATTTTTATAGGATATTCTGATATATTTACCATTCTAATTGTTCTTTATGAGATATGTCAGGAGTGCAGTCAGCAATAATAGAATAATGTTTAGCCTGTATAGCTTTGGATGTAGTTATGTTTGTTACTTTTGATGCCATTATATCTATCATTTCATTTTGAATAGTTTTTCAACAGCAGTGATTAGAAATATTTCCTTTAAGAGCTAGCGTGACATGGCTCAACATCATAGGATCAAATTGTTCCAGTCCTTAAAATTCTCCATTATTAACTGAATATAATTTATTATACAAAATGCTTTATATTTAAAGCAGAACCTCTGAAAGCCATATTTTTTGTTGCTAAAATGTAAAGTAATAATCATCAATCGCTCAAGAAAATTTCGCCATCTTAAACTTTCTTTTTCGGATGCTATTTCATTTATTTTACAAGAAGCAGAGTTGGATCACAATGTTTAATTACATAAATTTCTTTTGGAATTTCATTATTAATTTTCTTGATAACCCTTTCCATCGATTGCTTAGTATTCTCTCTTCTACAATTTTTAAAATTTTAAATTAAAGTAATTCAAGTACTTAAAATTTTTTATTTATTTTATTATTTTTGCTTACCTGCTTATTATTTCTGCAAAAATTGTAAGCTTGTTAAAAAATGAACCTGAAACACAACATTAAAAACTTAACTAAATCGAAAATCATTTAACAACCAATAAATAAGTAGGTGCGTCAAAATGACGCAAAACGTGCCAAAAATCAAAAATGAGTTTAGACGAGACACAAATTATGTGGCGCCACAAAAGATACATACTGAATTTGTTAGAAAAACATTTTGAAAAAATTATGATAAAATTTATAATTTTTATATTTTTTTTATTTAATTATTTTTATCAAATTATTAGTGTGAAAAAAAAGTTTTTTTAGGAAAAACTAATTTATATTTAAAACAGATATAAGTTTAACTAAATCTATTTTCAATTTATTATTTTCATTAAAAAAATATTTAGTGTTTATTTTACAGACAGCATTTGGCGTCCCCAGTTAGCGGCGCCCGACCTCGCCCCTTCAAGGCCGGCACTTATTAGAGGAGTACAGTTACACAAATCAAGTATAAATTAGAATTTAGATGGCCAGCTGAACTTGGAGTCACCGTGGTTACTATCGAGACTGCTGACTTGAAGCCGCTCAAGGAGATGGCATTAACGGCGGCCGAAGGCAGTTTGTCCCATTCTCCCACCACCCTATTCGAAAAAATATGTGAAGTTGTGACGATTGTGATGATAATGATTGCGCAATTGAAATATGCCGCCTGTATTGTGATGATAATGATTGCGCGATTGAAATATGCCGCCTGTATATTTTGTGAAATTGTGACGATTGTGATGATAATGATTGCGTCTTTGAGGCGTGCCGCCTATATATATCTATATATTTTACTAGACATTTTATGCATGTATATTTTGTTATTTGATATGCTATATATGCGACGCTGCTGTGCTGTTTTGTATATAGGGAGTATAGCAATATATGGGACGCGTGCTACGCGCTGTTCTGAGTATAGGAAAAGAGTATAGATGCGAGTATAGAATTTTCTATGATATAGTTATGTAGATAGGGCGGTAAAAACATATAAAAGGCCGCGAGTTGAGATTTAGAGAGGCGGGTAGTTTGTTATTTTATTCTAGGTTTTGTTTCTTGCTTGGTAGTTGTATTATTAATAGATTAATTTTGGATTTATCGTTTTTTTTATTAAGACAGAGGTTTGATTTGTATTATTTTGTTTGTTATTTTATTTCTTTTATTGAATAAAAGAAGTGTACACTTGATGTTTGGCTCGACTTAATTATTCTACCTAAAATAATGGATGTTGAAGAAGACTTGCTAATAGTTGACGAGGTCGGCGTCTCTAGTCAACAAGCAGGGCGCAAACAAACTTCCGCCCGGCTCGTGTTTTCAGACCCTGAGAGGGTCTATTGTAGAGTGGCGGATCCCGGCCAGGAAAGACTTCGCCGAAGCAAAGGCTCGGGTGGATATTCGTATGCGGACGCGGTTCGGGACCGCGTGGTGCGGAATTCGAATGTCGCCCGGCAAAAATCTACAATTGGCGCCCAACGTGGGGCCTCTTTTTCAAACATTACAGGTTTTAGGTGCAGCAGGAGCCAAGGTGATTTTCCTAATTTTTTAGGTGACAGGTGCCATGTTCGACAACATGAAACTTTTTTAGATTTTAGGTCACAGGTACCGAAGGAGGATCGAAAATCAACCTCGAGCAGACTTTCAACGACAACAAAATGAAATTGTTTTAAACAACAATCGTTTTGAATTTGTTGACAGGTACGAAGAAAAGCCGCGTATTGATTTTTCAGCGAACAATATAGGTTACAGGTTTATCCCAAAACAGGATATTTCAGGTTTTAGGTGCCAGGGTGATCCAAAGTTGCAGGAGTTCGGACTGAATGAGCTGCGATTAGCGTCCAGTAGATCACGGCGGAATAAAATTTTAGGTAACAGCAACAGGTGCAGAGCGACCGAGCGAGAGAGAGATACAGTTGAACACAAGTCGACGAGTGACAGTCGGGAACCGCTTCATTCAACTGGTGTGAAGTCTCAGGTTCATCAACCGCGTATAGGTGCCGAGCGTGACAACGACTTTTGTCGTCGCGAATTGCTTCGACCTGACAGATTTGATGGCACCGGCTGTCTCAAAACTTTCTTAAAAAAGTTTGAGATATGTGCCAGGTACAATAATTGAAATCTCGTAGACATGGAAGCGTATTTGTCATGTTCGTTAACAGGTGAAGCTTCACAGGTTCTCTGGGATTTAACAGGTTTAGGTTACCAAGAGCTGGTATCTAAGCTAAAAGACCGTTTTGGAACAAGAGGTCATGAAGAGTCATACAGGTACGAATTACAGATTCTTCGTCGAAAACCTGGTGAGTCGTTACGAGAGTTGTCGATGGTTACTAAAAGACTCATGTCATTAGCCTATCCAGGAAAGCAGTCAAGATTAGCTACACATCTAGCTAGGGACTTTTTCTTGTCAGCCCTCGATAATGCTGAATTAGAGTTAAAGGTTAGGGAAAAAGAACCAAAGAACATTGACGATGCTCTTAGATTTGCACAGCGTCTTGAAGTTTCAAAGATGGTGGTAGATTCGTCACACAGGTTTGACCCGCAGGTTAAAGATTTAGATTTTCAAGCAGGGGCAGAAAACATGGAGTCAATGGTACGACAGATTGCGTTCCTTCAAAAGTCATTCGAAGAACTCAGAAATAAAAGAGTGCAGCCAATTTGTTTTAATTGTAAGAAGCCAGGTCATCTTGCAGTCAAATGTCCTCAGAAGAATGAGACCTGCAAATCTCAAACTTATAGTCAAGTGAGTTTCAAAGGTTGTTACAAATGTGGAAAGACAGGTCATTTTGTAAGGGAGTGCCCGCAGAAAGGAATGACAAGCAGCACAGTAGATTACGTGAACAAGTCAATTGAAAGTAACGATCGTGTCATGTATCTGCCAATCACAATTAATGGCAAAAGAAGATTAGGTTTACTTGATAGTGGCAGTAGTGTATCCATTGTTCCAACGTCTATGGTTGATGTCACAAAGATCAGACCGACGAAAAAGAGATTGAAAGCTGTCAACAACACAGAAATTCCAGTCAAAGGAGAAATGAAGTTGCAAATTAAAGTTGATGATTATTCCAAATCAGCGTTAGTGTTGGTGTCTGATCATGTTTCAGAAATTGTTTTAGGTTTAGATTGGCTCAGGAACAATCATATCTCGTGGAAGTTTGGCGAAGGAAAAATCGCCGTGGGTAACAAAAATAGAACGATGAAATTAGTTATTAAACATTTTTCATGCAGGAAGCTTTGTCGTATTGAAGCTCACACAGAAGTGCGCATCCCTGCGCAGACTGAATTAGACGTGCCAGCAAAGATGATTGTTTGCCAGCCGTCCAAGTTGGAATCGACCGGATTTATGTGTTCGGAAAACAGACAAATAGAATCGGGTGTATATGTAGCTAGAACGTTACTACCTATAAAATATGAAGGACAGTGTGTTAGGATCTTGAATGTCAACGATCAACCGAGGGTGATAAACCGGGGAACGCGATTGCCAGATTTATCATCGGCTGTGGAAGCAAAGAAATCAGTTGATCGTCTAGCATATGAGAATCTAACAGAAGTTACAGGTATGGTTGATGGATTAGTAAAAGATATTTCTAAGAAAGCGAGAGAAGAGTTGATTCAAATACTTAAAAGTTTCTCAGACAGATTTAGCTGTGCGAGTGGGGAAATAGGTGTTGCAAAAGGAGTTTTTCATAAGATTGATACTCAGGATGTACGACCGGTAAACAACAGCTGAGCGACATCCTCCGGCGCATCAGAAGGTGAT